AAAGGAGAGGATCATGTCTTTTCAGCTTCAGAAGTCTGTGGAGCAGCCTGAGCATGCTGTGGAATGGAACAGTCTATTCTAGTCAAAGCACATTAATTTCTTCATGCATCCTGTAACTCAGTACTATCCCACATCATCCTCGAACAGGGCTGTTTCTTAAATGCCTCTTCTATATTTATAGTAATTGACAAGTATGAAATGATTTCATACTGTAGTTCATTAGGAGCCATTAACTGAGGAATCTGGTAACACAACTTGGCACAACTTGGCTAAATTGAGGGGGGAAGAGCTCTTTTAGTATGCATGTTATGTTGAAGTGAACATGGATCCATCCATTAAAAAAGGTTTAAATTTTGCTACACATGCTCCAGAAATTAATTTCTTGTTTAGTATTCTTGACTGGCTCTGCTGTAGCTCCTCTGTGCATGCAAATTCAAAATGCATACAACTTAATTCCTCACTTGCTTCCAACCTCTAATTTACCACAATTGAATCATTGTTCTCAGGTTCACTGAGCAATTAGTGACTGCCTGCTTGAATAGATGCACCTTTCTCTTTCTAAAAGTCAGGCTGCTGGATTTTCTTTTCTGCAATCTAAATTGGAGGCAAGTGCATCATAGATAATCATAGCATGGCAATGAAAGAGGTGTGCTCAATTCCTAATTTATCAGTCTTGGTGTGCTTGATGAGTTCTCATGTTATTTTGGTTACTCTGCTTATGTTACTGTGTCATTTTTTTTTCTGGGAATGAATCCCTAGTTTGTATGATCAGTAAGAGAAAAGCCTTTCTTTTGTGCCTTATGAGCTGGTTGATAGTACAGCAGACCCCAGAGCATTATTCTGTGACTGCTGTTTACTTGAGTATCAAGTGCTTACCCTCTCCTGCTTCCTGCTGTGACTTACCAAGAGAGATTTTATCTTCCACCAAACTACTTTATTTTCCAAGGCTGTTTTCCTGAAAGCAGAAAATAGGATCTGGAAACATATCTATAATAAATCTCATCTCTTGTATTGTGTAGTTGCTTATGTGCTCTGTGAACTTCTAATCTCCAGGGCAAAGAGGTCTGGTTATGTTACCTAAAATACACGGTACAGTATTTTCATAGCATTTCTAGGCTATACAGGAAAGCAAACAGATTCTGAAGCCTTTATTTCCAAATACTATGGGGAATGTGAAAGTGCAATTGAATGACAATGTGCCTCAGAGAAAGTAAAAGGAAAATTGCTTTTGTAAAGAAATCACTATTATAATTTTGTCACCTTGCTGTTTGTTTGTACCTGCCATTTTGGCCCCATATATTAATCCTAGCTATAACTATGTAATCACCATACTTTCTATAATGGCAGAGGAAATGAAATTAAAACAATTTATGGAAAAGAAATGGAAATGTAGTGTTATAAATAGCGAAGCACTGAAGAGTAAGAAATAGTAGTGAAAAATGAACCAGTTTAATAAATTAAAGCCTATTTTAATAAAATTGGAAAAATAAAATTAATGTTTTCATAATACCTTTATGCCAGAAATGAGTATTGAGTATTTATTTCTTTAAAATAATGTATAATTAATTGGTTAATAATTATAGATTTAGAAGAGGTAATATGATAATATGTGTTATCTTTGTAATAACTCTTACATGTTTCATGGTTTTTGTGATTCTTATAAAGGGAAAGAATGGACTGGTTACTGTTTAAAATGTATAACATTGTTGAATGTGTGGCAAAAAAGAAGTATTTTCAGAGTAGCAGGATGAAATGTGTGATTTTAACTTCTTAGTTCAGCAATTAAAATCACAATGGTCATCACAAGATAAAAGAGCAACCTCAGGTTTAATGAGAATTCAGTATTTCACATAGAAATAATACTGAGTTTCTGTGAGAGCTGAGTTTTGAAGTCAAGCTACAGTACTTAAAGCAGTTCATCTCTTGGTAAAAATAATTTCATATAAATGTGTTTTGCTTTGGCAGATGCATAATAATGTCTACTCTTAAAATGCTTGATCCGTGTCCCAATGCCTGTGAAGGAAGATTTATGTATATGTCTCAGCCTCTGTATTTTTTCGTGAACTGTTTCCCCATCCCAAGTAATTTATTCTGTACTAAATATGATTTTCATTCCATGTAAATATGTGAGTTTATTCTACAAATATTAATTGTAAAGGTGTTTATTACCAGGTTAAAGTTTAGCAGATTTTGGTATTTAAAGTGAAATTTTCTAAATAGTTCTAAGACCCTTTATTTATTGAAAAAATTACTTTGAAATTCTTAAAACTGTGACTTCTTAGATTATGGTGTGATTATGGTGTTGTGGCCTTTATCTTCAGCCTTAGACTGGTTTTGAAAACAAATCCTTTTCTTGAGTTCATGTGTAGATGCCACTCAGAAGAATATGTTTGGGATCCTCTTCTGGTAAAGAGGCTGTAATTTATGTTCCTTTTTGCCAAAGAAGGCATGATTCACAACATCAGTCACTTTAAAATAAGAAATTTGATGGCCTTAGTTCCTAGAACTTGGAAGAAGTATAGAAAAGCCTTTATTTCCACACAAGTTATTCTTGACACACTTGACTCTCTCAGTTGAAATTAAACCCCTGAAATGCCCATCACCCTGGAGAATCTGCTGATCTGACATCTGAGTCTTGGGCAGAGAAATGCAAACTCAGATGCAGAGGACTCACCCTTTTGCAACCTCTCCTTTTTTCAGTGATGGTGGCTGCCTGTATGGAGCAAGCACCAGCAGGTGAGCAGACATTCCTCTGAAGCTCTGGACAGAGTACAATGGAACTCTCCTACAAGCCACGTATTTTTCTCTTACCACTGGTTAAACAGTGGAAATCTGTGGGAATGGGGAGCGCTGAAGAGGCTCCCTAAGGAAATGCAGACATGATGGAGGCTTTGCAGTGATCTGACAGGATCTGAAGCATTTTCCCATGTAATCAAATACAGAAGATTCTCCATTTGTGCATATAACATGGTTAACATTTCTGTCACTTTGAGGTGCTGAGTGGTGCTTGTAACCTGGGGCTCTGTTACAGCTGAGCATTTCACCATAATGCCCTGTGAAAACTGATGAAGCTGGGTAGGGAGAAGCACTGGACTGAAGAGGGATCTGAGGGGGGAAGATGCTTCTCTAAGTGCTTGTTTAGCTCCTGGTCTTTTTTCCCCAAAACCTGATTCTGTAATTAAAAGTTTACATCAATTGGCGGTAAACTAAGTGAATTTCTTCAGTCAAAACTGCCTTGCCCATGCTACTCTAATTCCAGAAAGCATTGCAACACTGCCATTACCTGGGCAACACAGAGCTGCTGGAAAGTAAAACAGTGGAGAGAAATGTGTTACTTGGTAGATTGTCCCTTGGGTGTGGTCAGTGGTCTCATCCACAAGAGTGGATCACTTGTTCCAACTCACATAATGGAGGGAAATGTGCAGCTTTAAGGACGTGTTATTTCCAATTATGTATCTTTTTTTAATGAAGCGTGAACTCAAAAGTGCTGTCAGACTTTCTTTACCTTTCTTGTGAAAATTGAGTTTTTGTACTTGATCTCTAAAACATGACAGAAAATATCGGAAGCATGTACCACCTGTTTTTCCTTTCATCTTGATTCATTCATTAGGTTCCTCGTATTAAAAGCCCTCCAAGACATAATTAACCCTTTTTTGATACTGTGAAACTTGAAACAATCATTAAAACTCATTAAAAGAGAGAAAGTTACTTTTAAAAGCAGTTTAATATTAAAATTTCCCTGATTTTTTAAACTTATCATTAGGATAGAATACTAAGGGTATGGCCCTCACAGTTTCAGTCTTTACTGGCTAGTCAAGTAATTAATGATAATTGGTTGCTTTGCATTGCAGAACTCTGCTTCGTGATAGAAGATCTTTTGATAAAACAATTTTCTATAATGGAATGTTGTCTTCTGAGTATGCACTATGTAATGATACTGTCAGCAAGTCCTTTGTGTCCAGTAAGAAGAAAATATGATTGAAGATAAAAATACATTACCCAGGCTCAGTTTTTTGTCCCTCTTTACATTCTAAGCTCAATAGGTATTATATTGTAAAACCATAGGATATTTTATAATCCATTTTTTTACTGAAGAAGAACATTTGTAAGGAAATAGTCTTTCTGTCACAGAACTGGTCATACTGGATTTTTATATGGGTCATTTGTTGCTAAACTTCTAATTTTATCTTAAAACTATGACAAATAGAGAACCATGAAAAGGATATGCTTTTAATTTTTCTCAACTGTACTTGGTAACTAAAGTCACACTCGTATTTTCTAAAATATATTATTTGGAAACGAGTACCTGTCTCTTTAAAAATTGCTTTTAAAATATGAGCTGGACTATTTATGTTCTGAAAATGCTAATTGTTATATGGTTAAAAAAACATTGGATAACTAGTAGGATTTTCAGAAATTCTCAGCATCAACTTAGTTCTGTCCAAGAGAAAATGAAAAATGGGAGGACTTAGACCAGTCCTTAAAAATCTCCACGTAGCTGCATGATAATACTCTTATCCACTTTTGCAGTGAAGTTAAGGTAAAATTCTACTTGAAATTACAAGCTGAGAAATACAATAAAAGCCCATGTATGGGCAGATGTGAATAATCTGCCAGGATTCTTCTTACTTGATGGAAAACAAGATATGATAGAGATAAAAATTTGGAAAAAAATTATTTGATGGTAAAATGTATTTGGATACATCCCTGCATAGAGTAGGAAAGTATTATGAATGGGAAAGTATACCATGAATTGAAAGCAATGGAGACATTTGAAGAAATAACAAAAGTAGTAAAAATGTATTACTGATTTGTGGCTTGTTAATAAAATGCCCTAATTCTAATCAACAATGCAATTATTTCAAACCATTTTTCACAGCTTAGTTGTTAAAATTTCAGAATGCAAAGCTTTCTCAACTACAGTGATTTGCTGTAGCAAATCATTTTTGAAAAAAAATACTGTGGTTCTTTGAAAAGGTGTCCTTATCCTTCTTTTTAAGGTCTGGGATGCTGTAGATACAGGCTGCTGTTTAAAAACCTACTCCTGTCATTCCTGTGCTGTTCGGGCTGCCCAGTGGTCATCCTGTGGAAGAAGGATCCTCAGTGGAGGCTTTGATTCCATGCTGCATTTAACAGATGTAGAAACAGGTAAAGGCCATTGAAGAGTGCATTATAGCCATTTATTTATTGTGTTCAGATAATTTGGGATCTTGCTAGCCTTATTCTTTCTTCTAAAATATAGACAAATCTGTAGATGAAAGTTAGAATTCCTGAGATGTGACCTTATTTAAAAAACGTATTTTGGCATGTAAGAGTAATTGGAAAGGTTTGAGAAAACTGAAATATCTTACAGTTCACAATCACATGGAATTTCTGTTGTCAGATACTACACAGATGAATGGAATGCAATATGTGTTTTTATGCTCTGTCACGGTCATTGATTGAAGTGTTTGAACAGCCTCTTAAGGGTGACTTCAGTAACATTTATACCTATATTTAATTTAAACATAAGCTTGTATCTCATTCTCTGTTGGGTTGAAGTTTGTGCTTGAAGTTAATTAGGCGTTTTTTTTCTTTTTTCTGAATAGGACCTTAATTAGGAGTATAGAAACTTAAATTCCGGTATGAAACCTTGAGACCGAACTTGTGATGCTTTGATGCATTTTTGAATTTGATTTGGGATTTGATTGTTGTAACCTTAACAATTAATTTCCTGGATGCTGTGTCTCCTCATGTCTCCTTCACGAACTAACATGCTTCTGTCAGCTGTATTCCTTCTCTCTTTGATGTGTATTACCGACATCTGTTGCATTCCACAGCCGCAGGATCGCGTCCAGAGAAGCTGTGGTTACCAGGAACCAGCATGGGACACCAACGAGATGGGTTTCTGCTCAGGAAACCATTTATTCAGCATGGGAACAAACTCAGATGCAGGGACAGAGGGCAGAGGCAGGGTGATGGGTTTTGAGGGACAGAACCAGGGTGGAGCTCAAGGTCAGGGACCAGTAGGAGCACAGAAAGGGAGAAAGCCAAGGGGCTCAAACCCAATCACAATACCCTGAGCTGACACCCCACAAGGGTCTGGGGTGGGGCAACTCTTCCCAGGCTCACAGGGCCCAGCCCCCGAGGCAGAAGTTCAGAATTCACACCAGCCGGGTTTACAGCCATGCCTCCACTTTAACAATGCTTATCTGAAACTAAATCTTTGCCTCCCTGGGCTGGGGGCACCTCACAAACATCGAGCAGCATTCACTGGGGCTGTGTATAATATGGTGTCTCTCTGTGCGTGTATGAATTAGATCCAGGATGGGACCTTGTCAAGGGAAGAGATGCAATTTTACATTTCCCACTTAGTTTATTTTTAAATGTTTAACTCCTGCAAAGGTGCAATATTTTTTGTAAGACTGGAATAGAAATCCTTACAAAAATTACAAGCATTTTCTGTCTAGGAGGATTTTCTCTTGCGTAAAAGAAAGAACTACATTGTGTATGAATATCTGGAAAGCAGAAATCCTATTCAGATGAACTGGGAAAGCAGCCAAGAAAATTTTTAAATATTGTTCACATGAGAAAAAGGTTATTTTTCATGCTCCAAGAATTTATTTTTCTCAACAATAGTCATACCAGAAGTATTTGAATTCAATGATGGCTGGAAGGGAGCTGTCGCAGTGTAGGAATGTAAAATATGTTGCAGAATAATGATGTTTTGAGAATATTCAGCTTTTTTAATGAGGGAAGGAGATTTATATGCTTGGTGTAGTAGTATGTGAGGTTAATATACTAAGTCATTAATTTTTTAGACTTCTACAGCAACCTTTCTAGTCCCACATAGAGCTGAATCCAAGTGGATTTACTTTTCTCTGTAATGGTTACAAATTCTAAACCCAATGGCTATCTTGGTAATGGAATTTATAGCAACTGAATAGATTTTGTGTGTCTGAGTCATTTTTCCCTACTCTGGGAAAAATCTCAGAAAATCATAGGAAAAATTCCAAAGATACATAATTTAAATAATATGCTTTAATTTTCAACGTCTATTTGTCTTAGCTATCCGATAATGGGACAGAAGTCTGGATTATGTTGATTATAGGGATTCATTTACACTTCTCTAGGAAATGACAACAATAACAAAATATATTTACTAAATTTCAAGCAGATAAGTTTATAAATGGTTCTTTCCTTACTGACTTGTGAGTTATATAGTGTTTCTAGCTACTTAAATAAATTGTATGTGTAAAATGAATGCTTATATATACTTGGAAATATCATATATTCATAACTGCTTTATTTAGAGAACACAGAATTCCTTGTAGTTCCTCTGAACTGCAGTTGTGATTGGACCTGACTTTCACACCTCATTTGGAAAAGCATAATATGAGTGATCAGATGCAAGCCAGTTTCTGAGTTCTTTCCCTGTTGTAAAGTTACTCTTCTTGTCATACATTTTAGTCAGCTCTGTTCAAAGAGACAGGGCAAGCAGTTTGCCTCTGGAATCCAAATCAATTTGATATAAAAAGCCTCATTTCCATTTGAAAAACACTAAGGCATCTATAAGATTTTGATTTACATTAGTTCACTGAATCATTCATTCCTTCTCACTCTTCATCAGTGCTGAGATGATTTCTTCTTTGATTAACTTCAGATAGATGTTAGAACTGTTCCTTCATAGAGGACTTTCATATACTTTTTTTGACTTTTGTCCTAATTGCTTTCCATTGCTAGTGTGAACTAACTACCAGTGTGTTTAAATGTAGTAAATGCATGCCAGTGGTGTTTTATAAATAACAGTGCTCTCTTTCAGGCTCTATGCTCTTGTGTATTCTGTTCTTTTCCAGTTGTTTCCTAAAATCTAATCTTGCCTTTGTTTTCAGTATGGGTTTTATATATTACATTTGTGTTATAAAAATTGCTACATATCCTTCACTAAGAGAAACCTAATGGTCTATGTAGAATGACTTAAAAAGTTTAAAAAAGGTTGCAAATACAGCTTAGTACATGCAGGTATTGAGCTGCTGAGTTTTGGGGGTTTTTTTGTAATTCTCTTTTGGTTTTCTGTTGGGAACATAGTTTCTGCCCTATTAAATCAAAATTGCAGCCTGGCTAATTGTTCTGGGTCTGATGAAGGCTAGTTGTGGTATTTCTCAAAGGACCGTGTCAGCAATTTTTTAACAGCACTAGAATAAATCCTCCAGGAAATTTTCTTTCTAAGATTGGGCTCTAGTTTGGGTATCCCAGATGTATATATTGCATCTTCTGGAGTGTTTTTTCTTTTTTTAATCTTTATGATCTGAACAACATCAGAATAGAAGCAAACACTGAAATCTCATTAATCATGAAACACAGTTCTTGATGTTGGCAGAGAAATCCTGATACAAGGCTAGAAGACACATCCATGAACTCTTATTCTACAGTTTTACACCATCAAACCTCTTGCCCTTGTCATGTGTATTTAATGAAAGTTCTTATATACAAGAAGATCTGAGATACTGCAAGCATTAAAAATGAGCTGATAGGAACCTCAGGAAGTCCAACAAGGACATGCATCTGGAGTAATCCTGTGCAACAGACCAGGCTGATGCTAAACTGGTTAGAAAGAAACTTTGCAGAAAAATCCCTGGAGGTCCTGGTACCGAATATGAATCAGCAGCGTTCTCTTGCAGCAAAGAAGGTCAATGCCATTCCAGGCCAGATTAGGAAGCATTTACCTCATATGTAGAGAAAATGATACCAGGCTCTTCTCAGAGATGTATGGTGAAAGGATAGAACAAAATAGAACAAATAGGACAAAATAGCAAAAGAACAATATAGGAATGCAAAAACTTGTCAGCTCAACCCAGGGGTCATCAAATACTAAACCAGGCTGTTCAGGGAAGCTGTGGAGTCCATACTTGGAGATACCCAGAGCTTCAGGAGACAGACCCTTATGTAATCTGCAGCTGTACCTAATCTGAGTAGGGATTCAGGCAAGATCCCTGGAGGTCCAACCTACACAATACTGTGATGAAGTAGAGGACAAGAGAAAAATTCAAGTTAATGACATGCAAGGAGTTCTCTTATTGTGGTTTGGATTAGAGATAATAGCTGTTGCTGTGCAAGTCTTTTTTAAATTCAGTTTTTGTAGATTGTCATTTATTATCTTCAAGGGCCATCCAATGCCTTAACACCAGGATGTGAAGCTAAGACTCTCCACAAATACAGTTTTCTTAAAAACTGTTGTACCCATTCAGTATGGGTCAGACCCAAAATATGCATAATTTTTTCAAGTACTCAAGGTTATTCATGAGTCATTCACATGAGTGGGTCTGTGGTTAGTTGCAGTTTGCATCAGGCAAGTTGAGTACTTCATTATTGAAATTCATTAATATTGGTAGATCCAAAACCTGCAGATTTACTACCTGTTACTGTTTTGTTTTTTTTTTGTCTTATTTTATATACATTATTTCTTTATAAAAATAAAGCCTTTTGAATAGTTTCACAAATGTGATGATAATAATAATGCAGCAGTCTGAGACTCCTTGGTTTTGTTTTTCTCTAATAACACACAGTCATTTTCTATTACTGATAGTTCAGACACTTCATTATTTACAGAGTATTAAATAGTGCTTTATTCAGAGGGCACTGAAAAAAATGCTTTTAAAACAGTTCTAGGTCAAAGACATTTGACATTTAACTTGTTATGTCCAGATGCAATGGAGATGCTCTGCCAACTTTGGAAGGGTAATTGTATTTTTAGAATTTATTTATAACTGTTTTATTTTTGGAATGCATGTTTTATTCATCAGTAGATTTTTCATTAGTCACAAATGAATTGGTATTATAGCATAGGCAGAACATTGGCTGGGTTTTTTACTATTTGCATATTGTAGATACTTTTCATTTCTTTAATATTATGACAGAGGGAATGTTCCAAGAAATTTTGGCACATTTCCTAAGTTGCCAAATGCTGCAGTTGTATTTTAGTTCATGGACTGAGCTTGCTTTCAAATATAATTTCCTGAGAGTTATAATGAGAGGGAGAGTTTCTTAATGGAACATTTTGTACCTACCAAGAGAATGGTTCAGATTTTTTTTTCTATGTATTTTTTCTATTCTAATTTGACAGTCCTATAGATATAACATTACTATTTTTAATAGACTTGTATTTGTTCACATAGGAGTTTTAGGTCTCTTACCTAAACATCACCTCAGGAGAGCTGTGGCATTCCTCTGTTCCTTCTTTTCTCTACCAGTACTGTTTCAAGAGTAAATTTTAATATGCAGAAAGCTTTTATATGACACTTCAGAAAAAAGCCCAGTTGACTGATATTGTTTTTGTTAGCTTATTTTGTTTTATTTTTTTTTGCAGTATGATTAGGTCACTCTCCAGGTAGGAGACAACAGCATTTTACTTTTCATGCTCACTGGTTTAAAGCCTTGCTAAAAGGAGAGAGAAAAGAATTTATTTTGGGGATGTTTCGAAGATTAAAAGAGAAAATGATTTAATATTTCAAACATCTTCACCTGCTGTGAACATGTGAATGTGTAGGGACACAAATTAGGAAAAACGTAGTCAATGTAACTTTTGTTCTTGAAAAAATAACAAGGCCATTTGTAAGCACACCAAGAATGGGGGAGTAACAGCATTGATTTGTTAAGAACAAATGCTGTCTAATCAATCTAATGTTTTTTATCACTATTGTGCATGAGAGGGACTGTGACTAATGAAATATTTTTGTATATATTGTCTTATGTCCTTTTTTTCCCAGAGGGAAATCCATTTTGCTAATCAAGATTGCTCTTGTGTCCTTGTAAGCCTCAGGCTTCACTTTTCTTTACAGATTAGAGTAAGGAAATAAATGCTTTTGGGTTCTGCAGGTAGGTTTATGAACCTGAGGACCACTAAGCACAGTTACAGATGCATCCTTGTGCTGAGTAACTGTGCTGATGTTCTGTGAAAAATTCAGAATGTTAAATAGCCTTTAAAACATCTGATTTCATAGCTGGGCAGTTTCACAGTAGGCTGCTGCAAAAAGGAGCAGAAACATATATTCAAGATATTTTTAAAGATTTTTTTTTTCCATACTGTGTATGTTGCAATTATGTTACTGGCAAGCCCTCAATGCTTGGAGAATTGACTTAAAACCTTTAAAGAACATAAAACACAATGCAAAAGATATAGTGGATATTGTTACTGAAATTGTGAAAATTAAGGAGTTAGAGAAACATTTGATTTCTGCTTTGGAATAACAACCCCTTATAAAGGAGAATGATATGTGGTATAGATTTTCCCTCAAGTAGCCAAAGATATTTTCAAAAGACCCAATTTTCTAGTCTGAGTTGGTCATGCTTCCTTTAGGAACTAAAATGTGATAAATATATACATGATAAAGGTATAACAAGCTTGCTGAGTTATACCTGTTATGGATTAGGGGGTATTCTCCTCAAAGGCCATCTTTTGCAATATATAAAATAAGGTTCCCCAAAGGTGAGTACTTCATTTTATTAAACGAGTAATTGTAGAGTAAAAGATGTGTAACTTAAAAAAAAAAGATTTCCAGAAAGGTGGAGGAGGATCTATAGCAAACACTGAACCTGGATTTCCCAAGCTATGGGGTAGTTTCCATCATAGCAGGATTACAGCCGCATAGTAGTATAACACTAAGTTAAGCAAAGTTTGTACAGAAAAAGGCTGAGTTGAGTTCATTGTCTCAAATTACTGAATTTCATGAGCTAATATTCCCCATGTCATCTTTTGCATTGACCTGTTCCATCTCTCAGGTGAGTATTTTTCCTAAATTCTGAGTGAATCATGAATTTTAAATTTTAGTTCTGACAATAAGAGTGGTTCCTTTCTCTAACACCTTTTAACTGCTGCTGTTCAGCCTGTTTATGTTCCAGTCTTGCTCATTTTCTGTGACATGGCAGTGGAATGGAATTCATGTAGTAACACCAAACTCTTCAGAACACTGTTTACTCAATTTCCAAAAAGAGATGTTTGAATTTCACTTTGGGGAGACAATGAGAGAGGGAGGTTGTCTTTCAAAATGTTAATTGGAGAGCCTGAGCTTTTAGGATTAGTTTATTGTGATTGTTTCTGACTTAAGTAAAAAAATGGTTAATATCTGTGTCAAATCGTAAGGTAGCTGCTTAAAATAGGAAAAAGAATGAGGTTAAGGAGTATAGAGGTGAATAAGATGCTTAGGTTGTTGGCATTAATTTTATTTGTTATTACACTAACAGTAATGTAGAATTCACAACACTGGTAATATGGTTTAATTATGTTAGTGACTGTCACTGAGAGCTTTTGGATAAATTGCTGCCTCTAGAAGACAAGAAAAGGGCAAATTCAGTGCCCACTTTCTTTCAAATGGGGAGACAAAGTAGGGAATCAGAGCATTTTAGTTTCAGAAGAAAATACCAGGCAAATTATTAAATTACTTGGAAGCAGTTGGGAATGAGATTGAAAAATTGACTAATTAACAACAAATTATGTTAAATCAGTCTTTCTGTGGAAAGGGTAACAAATCTTGTAGTTAGTAGATTAAAATGCATCTTGAACTAAATGCACATCTTTTTTGCCTGTGTTTTACCTGACCTTCTAGTGTCTTAGGCTAAAGAACACAAGTATTTATTATAGAAGAAGCAGTTTTGAGAAGTCTTGTGGAGGTAAACACAGCAAAGCCAGTGTTTGCCAAAAGTTTAAATGAGGAGTTCCACTGAATCAGTTATGGATATGTCTGATGCCACTTGAACATGACACTTTGTGGAGAGCAGTGATCACTTGATGTGTCCTTTATAGAGCTGTGTGGCAGGATTAGTGCAGGTAGGCTACACTTTTGCTAATTTCTGGCTGCAGTCCCACTGGAACTTGTTGATTATACTCCCAGAGTTTTTATTAAGATGGGAATTAGGAAGAAACAAATTCCTTTGGGAGCAAAATGCTATTAAACTGAGTAGTGAGCCTCCTTGGGGTAATTCAGTATTTTCTCAAGTGCTGTGGGTGAGATTAAGATGCCCTTGTATGTGGCTTTTGTAAAGCCCCCCCAGATGATGTCTGGTAGATGAGAGCAATATCTTGTTGCTCCTATAACTGATGATTTTAATACTTTCTTCCTTCCCTGTGGAGTCTTTTTTTTTTTTTTCCCTGTAGCTGTTGGGGTTCTGAAAGCTCCCATGGCAAGAGGTGGTCACAGATATGACTTGTGGAGAAAATCTCTGCTGCCCTTATGACTTTTTTGTCCTTCTGGGGAAGGAACACACGGACAAAATTAAGTGTTTCACTTATTTGTGACAGAGAGGCCCTTTAGATCTTTAGACCTAGCAGTCGGTGGCAAGTCATTTGAAAAAAGGACAAAAATCCCCTACAAATACCAGAGTTCACACAGAACACCACTCACCCCTCCTTTAGGCTCGCTGTAATCCTCTTCCCTGTCTTTTCCCTTGATGAGCATGTGTGATGAAATAAATCCTTTCTCTTCTTTAAACTGAATTAATAGGTAATTTTACAAGTCTTAACCTATTGATTGGGTCAGTTGAGTTCAGCAGATGAGGAAAATAGAACTGATGATGAAATCAAATAAATAGGCCCCAGAGAATGAAATAAGCATTAAAAAAAGTGTGTGATTTTCAGTATTGTACACCTAACTGCAAGAGTTTACATCTGTCAGTAATGTTTTTAGCTGAAAGTATTTTCAGTTGTTTAAAAAAGCCTGTTTTAAGATAACCCTCATTTGCATAAATTGCAAATTAAAAAGTATTTTAAGAAGCTTTTATCATAGTATTTTAAAGGATTTTTTTTTGTTACTTCTGCAATACCTCCTTCACTGTTGCTTATAGCAGTAACTTTATTTAATGTAGATCTTTATATGGGATATGTAGAATATAAATCACAGTTGTTATTGTGAAAGGGAGCAGATATATTTATCTTGGTCTATACTGCTGTTCCAAAAATTTTATTTCAGTGAATATACAGTGATATGAATTTGTTAGGATGAAAGGAAGCAGCGAACTGTGGAAAAGTCCTATAAATTAACCTAGCTGAGTTCTGTTGTGTTCAAAAGTGCAGGCAACCCAATTAATACTAACCACAGGATCCTGTGGAGATTAGTGTACACAATTAAATGTTGGCAACAATGTATCCATGGGAGCAGCTATTGCTTTCATATGGTGGTTTGCAAATTATTTCCTACTTTCAAGATGAAGTTTCACTCCTACCTTCACAAAAAGTTAAGAAAACAACTCAAGAGTTGTAATATAGATTGGGACACAGTGGTGCTGTACAATGTTTTGTACAATGTTTTTTTTTATTCCAGTTATTTTTGTTTCACTGGAATAAAAAAGACTGTGGCTTTTCTGTAGATTTGTAGATTTCTTCCTGCATTTTGTCTGAACTGTGACCTTGGTGGAGCTCCTCTCCTTAGTGTGGGAACCACTTGTCTCCTTCCAGTAGGAATAAGTCAGTGTGCAGATGCCCATGAACAGGAGAACTTTCAAGAGGGTAGAAATTAGTGAGTTATCTTTCATTTTCATGAAATTAGACTAGCCCCAGATATTTGAAATGTGTTATTATAAGCATGTTCACTTCTAGCTACCTTGATATTTTTGAAACTAAATTGAAATGAATAACATATTTCATTTTCTGCTCAAATTTTAATCTCTTCTTGCCATTTTATTTTAGGGAAGCAGATATTTAGCAGCAAAACAGAATTTAGGATCAGTGCACTGAAGTTCCACCCTACAGAGTCAAACGTTTTCATTTGTGGAGGGTTCAGTCCAGAAGTTAAAGCATGGGATTTAAGGACTTCTAAGGTAAAGGAAATCTTTTTACTCTCTCTTTCAGAGTGTTTCCTAGGTTGTGTGTGCTGTGTGTTACCAAGGTGCAAGATATACTTACTGATCTTTCATTGAAATGTTATTCTGAAGTCCTTTGCATTTGTCACTGTGTTCTTATTTGTTGATATGAACCTCTGTTTTAGGTTCTGAGTGCTAGGTGGAGCATTATACAGAAAAACACCATTTTTTTTCTTTCTGTAGATACAAGTAACATCTAGTTGAATTAAACAGAGCCAATATCTCACTTAAGGGTTGTGAAAAGCAAGGAAGCAGTACAGCTAATTTGCTCTTCAAGCTCTTACATGTGGGTCAGGATGTGTGTGTGCCTGTACCTTTTGTATAGAAGCCTGGAGCAATTTTAACATTCATGAAGGGCCACAGAGGTGTGAAATACCTCTGGTTTTACTTTATCATGAAGCACAAAGAACAAAGTGCCCCCAGCTGCCATTCAGAGCTCAGGTAAGATCAGAGCTGTACTCTGCCAGTGGAAGTGTAAGGTAAGCAATGTTCTCATGCACAGAATAGCTCAAAGAGAAGCAGGGATTGTAAAGTGAGTAGTTCTTTGTTTTCCTTTGGATTTCTCTGTGGGTAGATCCTACTCATCATAGTTTGCCATCTGTTTGCTCTTGAGGATGGCAGAAGGGACCTGAAGAAGATAAGATAGTGTAGCCACACCTTGTCTCTGTCTGTGATGTACTTAGAATAACAGGTGAGAGATGTAGGGAGATGCATTTCAGGTATGAGGGCTTCTTTAAAGAAAAACATTAGTAAATATATATTGAGACTGCCACATCTGAGGCTACTCTGAAAATAAAATTTCTGTGAGTTTCAGAGTTACAGTGTTAGTATGAAAACCTCTGTAAGAGTGGATGGGATGTATTGCAACCATCATACTTCTGTGATGGCTAGTTTTCCTTCATAGGGATGTGAAGAGATTCTCAAAGCACAGGTCTGTGAAGGAAGATGACTCTAGTTTTGAATTGCAAAATATAAGTGCATTTAATAAAAACTACCTCTGTAACTTTTAAAAATGGAAATTAGATTTTCTGTTTTAACTGTTCCCCCTGGCAGGAAGCTGAAGAAGACTAATAGAAGTCTTTTCTCCTGAAGAGCAGGGTCAGTGGTTTGATAGCATGGAAATGACTTGGACAATACAGTTTTTCTTTCTTGAAATTCTCATAACAGTAGAAGTTATTTGTAGGGAGGAGGTGCAGTCTGAATACTTCAGTGTCCTTTTTAACATAGAGAACCCATTGTTTATCATGGTATGCTGAACTGCCTTTAAAAGGTGCTTTAGGAGCTAAATGAGTGTCCTCATTTTAAGGCTTAAATATTGTTATTGTTATGTCAAATTTGAGGTCTTTGATTGTAGTCCAGGAGAAGATGGCAGATGTAGGCAACAAAACATTCTTTCAGAGATTTTCTGACTTGGTCTAATAATCTTTTCTAGAAATGATGCTGTAGTTTATGCACAAAGTCAAGTGATACTCTGGCTGTGTACAGAGCCAGAGACATTCTTTCACCCCATGTCATTTCTTTGTGGTGATTTTGTGTCTGTGCATGTCTTCCAGTGACTAGCTCTGAGAATCTGTGAAGGTGATTTTTCTAGAGATTTGAAATCAATTGTGATTGATGAGCATGGTCATACCAAAGCTGGCAGTGCCTCCACCTTGTGTGTGTTTAGAGTGCCCGGTCTTTCCAGATGGAAAATGATAACTGATTCTGTTCTACAATAACAAACAGCTGAAGTCACATGTTGCAAAAATGTTTCTGTCTGGAAGGTGCTCATGTTGTGTATGGGTGTGGAGGAGTATGTTAGGAATTTTTCACAGGTGGTAGGACACAATCTCTAATATTGATAATGGGGAAGGCACTTCAGTTTCAAGGAAACAGAAGATTTGTTTACAATGGATGTTTACAATCCAAGTGCTTGAATGACTTTTTTTTTCAGCAATTCTGATACCAGTGATTTTGATGACAGGATCTGAAGACTATGCAAAATTGTCAGTGACTCAAGTAGAGCTAAGGGGCTAGAGGACAGATGATAGTGCTTATGCTAGATAAATTACTTCTGAGTGGTCTCCTGAATCTGCTACTCTCCTATTGTCATTATCTCTGCCAATCTGCAGTGTTTTTGTTTTTATTTTTGAAGTATTATAGTGTCACCAAGACAAACAGCTTGAAAAATGCTGTTCTTAGACCTTTTTTTACTCCCTGTGAATCGTCAGTTTCAATAGTGCTTTCCCTTGACACCAGACAAGGCATCAAACTATTTTATTCCAAGCAATGATGACAATAAATGTATTTGTCTCTAAAAGCAGCTCCTTCCTTGTAGGTTTTCAATTCTGACGCTGCCTCAGTTTAACCATAGTTAAACTGTCAATTGATATTTCTGGCAAACCTGATTGTAGTTCAGACCTGCATAAATGTAGGTTCAGAAAGCAGTTCCTTGTGAAGAGGAGCAGGCATGGAACAGCACGTGACACTTAACCTGGACAGATGCTGCAAAGCACCACCAAATGTTGCCAACCACCTCAGCCTGACGTTCTGCAGAAGGTGCCTCCTACAGAACTAGGTGGGCTGGAGTTTGCTGTTTGGCTGCCTTGGAAAGTCTTCTCAGTGAAACTGTTCCTGAAAACTGCTGGGAGAGAAGAAACATGTCCTTCACCAATGAACAGTGTAGCTGCAGCAGGGACAAGGCAAACAGAGAGGTGTAGCACAGTTTACATGAGGCAGCAACAAGGAACAGACAAACACTCCTGGGGCAGAGGTTAGTCTCACCTGTGCATCATTAATGCAAAATGTTGTGGTTACATTTCAAACTCTCAGGCATAGAACGAAGTGTTGGTTAGGCATGAATTACCAGTGACATCAGTTTGTCATGTCTGCCACTTCCTAGTTTGGGGGATTTCAGTGGATTCTTCAGGTATTCCTGCTTTCAGTTTATATTGTTACATTTATTCACATATCTTTTCCCTCTTGCACAATTATAGCCATAGTTGAAACTGGATAGTGTCCTAGCCAATATTTTGAAATTTATCCTGTTCTCATAAGTACCATTTTCTCTTAACTGAAATAGATGCCTGAGGCCTCATGACACTTTTGTTTCAGTTTTGACACAAGCCTTTCTATCTTCCAAGTTCTTTCATCCTAATTCATTACAAGATTTTCCTGTTTTGCCTGTACTTTCAAGTGTGCTAACCTGTCATTCAGCTTGCAATGATATGTGGGTGAACTACTGATACTTTTTGTTCTTATCATCATACTCTTGATAGCCTTTTCAGGCTTTGTAGTATATTTTGTCAATAGAGAGAACATCCCAAATCAGGCATCTGAATCTTGTTATTCATTGCACATTGAAAACTCAATTTCAGAATTTGCTGGTAATTCAATTTCAGGGGTCATTCTTTAGGAAGTACTCCTGTGCTTTAATAAGCTATCTTCTTGCACAACTTAAACTGTGAGGCAAAATTATAATTTTATCAGGAAATAAGGGTATTTTTCATGGAAATTCAGAGCAAAACATTAAGCATAACAGAGAGAGAGAATGAAAAATTACAAAAATGTTGTCCAATTACACATACATGCAATGGTTTACATGAGCTGCTTTATGGCAGTGTGCCACATTGATACTTTCTGCTGATGGAAAATGACATGGAATAGCTCATACTGGTATTTTAAAAAATTATTAATTCTGACCAGGACCCTGAATTTATGAGCATTAATTACTAATATTTATGCATGATTTGAATGTGGTACAAAAAATTAGATATGCGAGTGCCAGAGAAAATGTATGAAGTCGGTTTGAGGCAGCCTCTCAGCTACTAAAATACTGAAAAATTTTAGGGGAGCTAATAGCATTCCTGCTTTACACAATGCAAACCTTGCTGACATGTATGAATGAATCTTTTCAATTCAGTTCACTCGTGGTATAAGGGAATAAGGTATAAGGGAAGTGAGCGAGTGGCTGTGTGGTACTTAGTTGCTAGCTGGGTTTAAACCATGACAGAAATGTGCAGTAGGCTATTAATCAGAGAGGCAGATAAAAAAAAAACAACACCCAAAACCAACAACAACAACAAAAAAAAACCAAACAAGAAAAAAACACAAGAAAACCCCCCCCAAAAACCCCCAAAAATCCAAAAAAGTGGAATGTTCAAAGATACTTATTGCTGTCCCTGTTCTGTTGAGCAAATAGGAGAAATAGTTTCAAATGTAGCCCTGGGTATTAAGCAAGACAAAGAAATGAAAGAACAATAAGGGAGTTTAAATCTTTAAGATGAAGCTAAGCAGTATACTTCAGAGAAATGAATGGATGGGACAGCTTGTTAAGTGCTCAGTGAAATGTAAAGTATACAGGCATCTCAAAATTACAGACAAAAGTAATCAAAGCCTGGAAAAAAAATAAAAGAATGTTTATAGAGATTTTATGAAAATACCAGAAAACCTCGAAGTGAGCTGCTGTGTTATAAAAAAAAAACAACCAACAATCTGCAGTGTCGACCATGGAGGGAATATCATATTGAACAGCCCCCGTGGGATCTGTGGACCTTGGAGCTGAACCTAGATAAATCCTGCAAAACCCTGTAAAAAGAAATGTGCTAAAACCCTGAGACCTTAAAGTAGTTAAACCCTGAGACCTTAAAGTAGTTATGTATTTTAGAAGTATTTCCTTTCTCTGAGCCATGGAAGAATTTCTTAAGATGTTCAGCCCAAGCCAGCACAGTCACCCTTCATTTTGGCTGATCTGCATTTGCTTTTCAGACAGGATACAATATATATTCCAACTTATTCTACCTGAAATTTTAGTTTTCCTTGAAATACCAAAGAGAACAAAAGGTTGAGACTTGTATCCTTTAACCCTTTAACAGAAATAAGGACCTTATAGTGTTTGTTAAAGTAAATATGACTGCAGATTTTTTTTTTGCTTTTTAATTTGGGTTTCTAAGCTTACACAGATATACTATCAGAGAAAG